TACAGTGTGATGCAGCACCGACACTTCCCACGACAGTGTGATGCAGCATAACACTTTCCACAGCAGTGTGATGCAGCACCGACACTTCCCACAGCAGTGTGATGCAGCACCGACACTTCCCACAGCAGTGTGATGCAGCACCGACACTTCCCACAGCAGTGTGATGCAGCACCGACACTTCCCACAGCAGTGTGATGCAGCACCGACACTTCCCACAGCAGTGTGATGCAGCACCGACACTTCCCACAGCAGTGTGATGCAGCACCGACACTTCCCACAGCAGTGTGATGCAGCATCGCTCGTTCTCGATAAAAATGATAAAATAAATATTCTGTCAGTCTGGTTATTATTTTTTTGACTGATAATAAGAAAGGTTCCTTGACTATAATTTAATAAAAAAAATGGAGTCCTGAAATTTGGAGTTGATAGTACGGATCAGAAAATTTTCTTCTTGGTAATATTTAGGACAAAAATCAGCAGCCAAGTGAAAATTAATTTATGTTAGGTAAAATGACACAAGTGCAATTAATGCGACATTTTATTGGGGCAAAGTTTCGCTCTCCAGGAGCGAAACGTTGACGCAATAAAATGTGGCATTAGTTGCACTTGTGTACTTTTACTTAACATATTGTAGGTATTTTTACCAACATAATTATAAAATTAATTTAGAATTGCATGTCACTAATATAGGCGAGCATATGTAAAGGCAAGAGTTAATAGGTGTTGTCGGGGTTGTAATAAGGTATGGCTGAAGTCAGGTCTAAGTCAATGATCTCCATGAAGAATAAAAATACACGGTACAGTGACTGGATCAATATACAGATATGCCGCACATAAGAGAAAGAAACTTATGACGACGTTTTTGTCCGCCTTTGACCATTAACTAGTTAAGAATCCAGGTCGGACCGAAACGTGTAATGTTTGTGTAATGATCTCCACATTTTGTTGAGATTTGGGTAAAGATGTGTTTTGTGTTTAATGAGGTTCCACGTATTTTGTTTATGCATCTCTGGTTATTATGTAAATTGAGCTTATTCTGACGTTTTTATAGGTAATGGGTTTTTTAACTTCAGATAAATTCGTCATTATTATTATTTTTCACATCTTTGAAGTTTTCCGGGTTATGGGCTTCAGTAATTTTCATGACGCGACTTTAATAAATTAGTCACATGTGCAACACTTGGGTATCTTTAATGAGACGTTTCGCCACACAGTGGCTTCATCAGTCCATACAAAGAAGAATGGTGAACAACAGGAGGAGTTTGAGGTAATCAGTCCCTCAGCCTTGAGTCGATGTAATCAGTCCATCAATTTTGAAAAGAATACAGCATATGTGCGATGAAGTGGCTTATATATTGTAGACAGGTGAGGTGAAGCAGTTGTAGGTGGTGTCACTTGAAAAATCCAAATGTGGAAGTAGGTAATTCTTTAAGGTTAGGTATGACCTAAAGTGTGACACCACCTACGACTGCTGCACCTCACCTGTCTACAGTATATAAGCCACTTCTTCGCACATATGCTGTATTCATTTCAAGATTGATGGACTGATTACATAGACTCAAGGCTGAGGGACTGATTACCTCAAACTCTTCCTGTTCTTCACCATTCTCTTTATATGGACTGATGAAGCCACTGTGTGTCGAGAAGTTTTCTCATTAAAGACACCCAAGTGTTGCACATGTCTCTAATTAATCAACTAGTCGGCTCTCTGAACCATTTATCTACACGCGACTTTAAACACTGATTTTGTTGACTTGTCCCTTGACTGTACTCACCTAGTTGAGGTTGCAGGGGTCGAGTCTTCCCCATATTTTACAATTATTTATAAAATAAATTAAGATGAACTTGGTTTTCGTGAATCTAATGATCAAAATTATTTTTATTGTCATTAATTCTTAGTTTGTGACAACAACAAATTTTCAAAGAGCGTTATTTGCTGATACCATGGTTTAATATATTGTAGCCGGGATAACGTTATTCAGCGTGCGTTATTTGCTGATACCATGGTTTAATATATTGTAGCTGGGATAACGTTATTCAGCGTGCGTTATTTGCTGATACCATGGTTTAATATATTGTAGCTGGGATAACGTTATTCAGCGTGCGTTATTTGCTGATACCATGGTTTAATATATTGTAGCCGGGATAACGTTATTCAGCGTGCGTTATTTGCTGATACGATTCTTACAATCTTCATTTCGAAATCCTATTTACTTGCAAGCTGCAAAATATATCGCAATGGCAACCTTAGCCAACTGTTGTAAACATTATTTGTTCCGCTGCTGGCGTCTAGAAACACTGCACCTCTTACACACAGCATTAGTTCTAATGGTAAACTAGAATTGACCACTTTCATGTCGTGTTGTCAAGGATTTGCTTGTATGGATTGCGCTTATGTGATCTAATTATTCCTCGCAAGTCTCTTCTTCCATCGAGGTGGGAATTTTGAGTTCTGCGGATGGCTTCGGCAATGAGACTTCATTAGTTCCCTTTTCAGGCAACACGCATGGTTTGATGTCCGGAAATTTAGGTGGAGTTATTTCAGGGAATTCAGGAGTATTTACTGCTGGAAAACCTGGTGGATTTACTTCAGGAAAATTAGGTGGTTGTAGATCAGGAAATTGCGGAGACTGAACTTCGGGAAATGAAGGTGGATTGACTTCTGGGAAATCTTTTTGTTCTATTTCTGGAAATACAGGTGGATTAACTTCTGGAAATCCTGGAGGCTGTACTTCAGGAAATGCTGGCGGCTGAAGGTCAACAAATTCTGGTTGCTGAACTTCTGGAAATTCTGGTGACTGCACTTCGGGAAAAGCTGGTGGCTGTATCTCCGGAAATTCCGGCGACTGTATTTCAGCAAATGCAGGGGGCTGTACCTCAGGAAATGCTGGTGGCACTATATCGACAAATTCTGGCGGCTGTACTTCAGGAAACAAGGGTGCACACTCAGCTGGGTCTTGGGAAGGCACAGATCGCTTCTTCACAGGAAATATCTTGTCTCGGTCCTCGGAGAATACATACTCTGAAACCGCACCATTGATTAGCTCATCATCAGTGATATGAGACCTTTTCTTCAAATGTTTATTATGGAAACGATCGTGTCTGAAATCCTGTTTTCTCTCCTTGTGAAATTTAGGCTCTGGCCAGGTAGGCCTGGCGAGAGGATGACCCGAAAATTCGGGAAATTTTATTTCTGGAAATTTAGGGGGTTTTGCCTTAAAATGATCGTAGGAAAAGAAGTTGGGAAATTTAGGTGCCTTTATTTCCGGAAATTTAGGTGGATGAATTTCTGGGAAACGAGGAACATTAATTAATGGGAATTCTGGATTTAAATTATGACCAAAGTCTAATCCAAGACCAGTGCCTCCTCCAAGACCAGTGCCTGCTCCAAGACCAGAGCCTGCTCCAAGACCAGTGTCTACTTCAGGACCAGTGCCTGCTCCAAGACCAGTGCCTGCTTCAAGACCAGTGCCTGCTCCAAGACCTGAGCCCATTCCACCACCAATACCCATTCCAAAACCAGTTCCCATTCCTACACCAGTACCCATTCCAACACCAGTACCCATTCCAGCACCAGTGCCCATTCCAGTACCAGTGCCCATTCCAGCACCAGTGCCCATTCCAGTACCAATGCCCATTCCAACACCAGTACCCATTCCAGCACCAGTGCCCATTCCAGCGCCAATGCCCATTCCAACACCAGTACCCATTCCAGCACCTGTGCCCATTCCTGTACCAGTGCCCACTCCAGCACCAGACCCCATTTCAGCACCAGAGCCCAATCCGGTACCAGAGCCCATTCTGGCACCAGTGCCCATTCCGATACCAGTGCCCATTCCAACACCAGTGCCCATTCCAACACCAGTACCCATTCCAGTACCAGCGTCCATTCCAGCACCAGTGCCCATTCCAACACCAGTACCCATTCCAGTACCAGTGCCCATTCCAGATAGAGGTGCCATTCCAGTACCAGTGCCCATTCCAGATAGAGGTGCCATTCCAGTACCAGTGCCCATTCCAGCACCAGTGCCTATTTCAGCACCAGAGCCCAATCCAGCACCCGTGCCTATTCCAGCACCAGTGCCCATTCCAGTATCAGTGCCCATTCCAGTATCAGTGCCCATTCCAGCACCAATGTCCATTGCAGTACCAGTACCCATTCCAGTACCAATGCCCATTCCAACACCAGTACCCATTCCAGCACCAGTGCCCATTCCAGCGCCAATGCCCATTCCAACACCAGTACCCATTCCAGCACCTGTGCCCATTCCTGTACCAGTGCCCACTCCAGCACCAGACCCCATTTCAGCACCAGAGCCCAATCCGGTACCAGAGCCCATTCTGGCACCAGTGCCCATTCCGATACCAGTGCCCATTCCAACACCAGTGCCCATTCCAACACCAGTACCCATTCCAGTACCAGTGCCCATTCCAGATAGAGGTGCCATTCCAGTACCAGTGCCCATTCCAGATAGAGGTGCCGTTCCAGTACCAGTGCCCATTCCAGCACCAGTGCCTATTTCAGCACCAGAGCCCAATCCAGCACCCGTGCCTATTCCAGCACCAGTGCCCATTCCAGTATCAGTGCCCATTCCAGTATCAGTGCCCATTCCAGCACCAATGTCCATTGCAGTACCAGTACCCATTCCAGTACCAGTGCCCATTCCAGCGCCAGTGCCCGTTCCAACACCAGTGCCCATTCCAGCGCCAGTGCCCGTTCCAACACCAGTGCCCAATCCAACACCGGTGCCCATTCCAGCATCAGTTCCCATTCCAGCACCAGTGCCCATTCCAACACCAGTGCCCACTCCAGCACCAGTGCCCATTCCAGCATCAGTCCCCATTCCAACACCAGTGCCCAATCCAGCACCAGTGCCCATTCCAACATCAGTGCCCACTCCAGCACCAGTGCCCGTTCCAGTATCAATCCCCATTCCAGCACCAGTGCCCATTCCAACACCAGTGCCCATTCCAGCACCAGTGTCCATTCCAGCACCAATGCCCATCCCTGCAAGAGTGCCTATTCCAGCAGGAATTGCCAATCCAGCAGGAATTGCCAATCCAGCAGGAATTTCTATTCTAGAAGGCATTTTCATTCCAGCAGGAATTTCCATTCCTGCAGACGTTTCCTTTGTAGCAGGAATCTCCATTCCAACAGGAAGATCCACTGCAGAAGGAGTGCCCATTCCAGCAGGAAGTTCCATTCTAGCAGGAGTTCCCATTCCACCTGGAATTTCTGTTCCAGCAGGAATTTCCATTCCAACAGGTATTTCCACTCCAACAGGAATGCCCACTCCTGCAGGGATTTCCATTCCAGTAGGAATGCCCATTCCAGCAGGAATTTCCATTCCAGTACGAGTGCCCATTCCGTCAGGAGTTTCTATTCCAAAAAAAGTGCCTATTCCAGCAGGAATTTCCATTCCAGTAGGAGTGCCTATTTCAGCAGGAGTGCCCATTCCATTAGAAGCTTCTATTCCAACAGGAGTGTCCATTCCAGCAGGAATTTCCATTCCAACAGGAGTTCCCATTCCAGCACGGGTTTCTGTTCCAGCAAGAGTACTTATTCCGGCAGGAGTTTCTATTCCAGCAAGACTACCCATTCCAGTAGGAATTTCCATTCCAGCAGGAGTGCCTATTCCATCAGGAGCCCCTATTCTAGCAGGAGTGCCTATTTCAACAGGGATTTCCATTCCAGCAGGAGTGCCCATTCCAGCAGGAATTTCTATTCCAGTAGGAGTGCCCATTCCAGCAGGAGTGCCCATTCCATCAGGAGCTTCTATTTCAGCAGGAGTGCCTATTCCAGCAGGAATTTCCATTCGAGCAGAAGTGCCCATTCCAGTAGGAGCTTCGCTTCCAGCATGAGTGTCCATTCCAGAAGAAATTTCCACTACAGCAGGAGTTCCTATTCCAGTAGAAGTGTCCATTCCAGCAGGAGTTTCTATTCCAGTAGGAGTTTCTATTCCAGGAAGAGTACCCATTCCAGGAGGAGTTTCTATTCCAGGAGGAGTGCCAATTCCAACAGGAGTTTCTATTCCAGGAGCAGTGCCTATTCCAGCAGGAGTTTCTATTCCAGGAGGAGTACCCATTCCAGCTGGAGTTTCTATTCCAGGAGTGTCTATTCCAGCAAGAGTTTCTATTCCAGGAAGGTTAACCATTCCAACAGGAGTTTCTATTCCAGGAGGAGTGCCAATTCCAACAGGAGCTTCGATTGCAGCAGGAGTGCCAATTCCTGCACCAATGTCTCCTCCAGTTAGAGTGTCCAATTCATCACTACTGCCAAATCTATGGCCAGTTTCTGTTGCAGTACCAGTGCCGGTTACATCAACAATGCTTAATCCAGTATTGGTTCCTGATGTTTCAGTAGTTTCTGATCCACCATCCGTTCGTGATCCATCAAGAACACCAGATCCCTCAGGAGTGCCTGATCCAGTATCAGAGCCCGCTTCAGCACCACTGGAAAATCCCTCATCAGTACCTGATTCACTCTTAGTGCCTGATTCATCTCCTGTGCCAGATTCAGCACCAGCGCCTGAGTTTTCAATAGTGCCAGTGTCATCGTCAATGCTTGTGACATCACCGTAGTTTGCTCCTGGAAATAAATCTGAAACACCAGATCTAAATTGTTCATCAATAAAAGGCGATCCATCAACTAAATTTAATTCATTACTCATGTCTAATCCACCTCCAGTACCTGATCCGCCTCCAGTGACTGATCCATCACCAGTGCTTGGTCCATCTCCATTGACTGATCCATCGACAGTACCTAATCCATCACCAGTGCCTGATCCGTCCCCAGTGCTTGATCCATCCTCAATATCTGATCCACCTCCAGTGTCTGATCCATCACCAGTGCCTGATCCATCTTCAATGTCAGATACATTCTCAACGCCTGACCAATTCCCAGTGCCTGATCCATCCCAAATGAGTGATACATTCCCTGTGCTCGATCCACCTTCAGTGCCTGATCCGTCACCAGTGACTGATCCATCCAGAATATCTGATCCACCACCAATACCTGATCCATCAATAGTTCCTGATACTTCACTGGTGCCTGATCCATCCGGAATGTCTGATCCATCACCAGTGACTGATCCATCACCAATGCCTGATCCGTCACTAATACCTGATCCATCAATAGTTCCTGATATTTCACTAGTGCCTGATCCATCCAAAATGCCTGATCCATCACCAATGCCTGATCCATCCAAAATGCCTGATCCATCACCAATGCCTGATCCATCAAGAGTTCCTGATACATCGCCAGTGTTTGATCCATCTCCAGTTCCTGATCCAAAGCCGGTACCTAATACATTACCAGTGTCTGATCCAAAACCTGGGCGTGGTCCTAAACAAACGGATGGGACTAAACCAGTGCCAGACCCTATACTACTTCCTAAATCAGCATCGATGACTAGTCCAGCACCAGTGCCTGATCCAGTACCAGTGCCTGATCCAAAATCAGTGCCTGATCCAACACTAGTGCCTGATCCAACACCAGTGCCTGATCCAACACCAGTGCCTAATCCAAAACCAGTGCCTGATCCAACACCAGTGCCTAATCCAACACCAGTGCCTGATCCAATACCAGTGCCTGATCCAATACCGGTGCCTGATCCATCACCAATTCCTGATCCAAAACCAGTGCCTGATCCAACACCTGTGCCTGATCCATCACCAATTCCTGATCCAACACCAGTGCCTGATCCAAAACCAGTACCTGATCCATCACCAATTCCTGATCCAAAACCAGTGCCTGACCCATCACCTATTCCTGATCCAAAACCAGTTCCTGATCCAACACCAGTGCCTGATCCAAAACCAGTGCCTGATCCAAAACCAGTGCCTGATCCAATGCCCGTGCCTGATCCAACACCAGTGCCTGATCCAAAACCAGTGCCTGATCCAAAACCAGTGCCTGATCCAATGCCCGTGCCTGATCCAACACCAGTGCCTGATCCAAAACCAGTGCCTGATCCAAAACCAGTGCCTGATCCAATGCCCGTGCCTGATCCAACACCAGTGCCTGATCCAAAACCAGTGCCTGATCCAAAACCAGTGCCTGATCCAACACCAGTGCCTGAACCAACACCAGTGCCTGATCCAAAACCAGTGCCTGATCCAATGCCCGTGCCTGATCCAACACCAGTGCCTGATCCAAAACCAGTGCCTGATCCAAAACCAGTGCCTGATCCAATGCCCGTGCCTGATCCAACACCAGTGCCTGATCCAAAACCAGTGCCTGATCCAAAACCAGTGCCTGATCCAAAACCAGTGCCTGATCCAATGCCCGTGCCTGATCCAACACCAGTGCCTGATCCAACACCGATGCCTGATCCGTCACCAAATCCAGTTCCTACTTCAGTGCCTGATCCAAAAGCAATACCTGATCCTGATCCAGAACCAGTGCCCAACCTAGTACATGGGCAATCTCCAGCACCAGTACCTGATCCGAAACCAGTGCCTGATCCAATGCCGGTTCCTGATTCAAAACCAGTGCCAGACCCATCGCCAATTCCTGATCCAAAACCAGTGCCTGATCCAACACCAGTGCCTGATCCAACACCAGTGCCTGATCCATCACCAATTCCTGATCCAAAACCAGTGCCTGATCCAACACCAGTGCCTGATCCAACACCAGTGCCTGATCCAACACCAGTGCCTGAGCCAACACCAGTGCCTGTTCCAACACCAGTGCCTGTTCCAACACCAGTGCCTGATCCAAAACCTGTTCCTGATCCAAAACCAGTGCCTGATCCGTCACCAAATCCTGATCCAAGTCCAGTGCCTGATCCTAAGCCAGTTCCTAATCCAACACCAGTGCCTGATCCAACACCAGTGCCTGATCCAACACCAGTGCCTGATCCAAGACCTGTTCCTGATCCAAAACCAATGCCTGAACCGTCACCAAATCCTGATCCAAGTCCAGTTCCTTCTCCTAAACCAGTACCTAATCCAACACCAGTGCCTGATCCAATACCAGTGCCTGATCCATCACCAATACCTGATGCAACGCCAGTGCCTGATCCAAAACCAGTGCCTGATCCAATACCAGTGCCTGATCCATCACCAATACCCGATCCAACGCCAGTGCCTGATCTAAAACCAGTGCCTGATCCAATACCAGTGCCTGATCCATCACCAATACCTGATCCAACGTCAGTGCCTGATCCAAAACCAGTGCCTGATCCAATACTAGTGCCTAATCCATCACCAACACTTAATCCAATGCCAGTGCCTGATCCCAAACCAATGCCCGTTCCATCACCTATTCCTGATCCAACACCAGTTCCTGATCCATCACCTATACCAGATCCTAAGCCAGTGCTTAATCCATCACTAATGCCAGATCCTAAGCCAGTGCCTAATCCATCACTAATGCCAGATCCTAAGCCAGTGCCTAATCCGTCACTAACGCCAGATCGTAAGCCAGTGCCTAATACGCCACTAATCCCAGATCCTAAGCCAGTGCCTAATACATCACTAATGCCAGATCCTAAACTAGTGCCTAATCCGTCACTAATGTCAGATCCTAAGCCAGTGCCTAGTCCATCACTAATGCCAGATTCTAAGCCAGTGCCTAATCCATCACTAGTGCCTGATCCTAAGCCAGTGCCTAATCCATCACTAATGCCAGATCCTAAACCAGTGTCTGATCCATCACCTATGCCAGATCCAAAACAAGGGCATAATCTTAGAACAGTTCGAGATCCGAGTCTGTTGCCTGACCCAACACTTGCTCCTGTTTCGAAATCTTTTCCTGAACTGACAGCAGTTTCTGATCCCACACCTGTACCGGGAGACCCAACTTCTCTTGATGGAGGTTTTATACCTAATAATTCTAATACTGGTGTAGTATATTGTCCTGGGGACTCACTCTTGGGATATTTCAGAGCCGAATATATCCCTTGGGTTGGTTTAGGAGTTTCGTCTGGTTTCTTCATCGGTATCAAAATTATTTCTGGCTTTGATATATATGGATGCTCCGAGGATTCAATCGCAGTATATTCAGGTACTGTACTAGCGAGATGGGGCTGCGAGTTCTTCAAGAGGTCATCCTGTGAAGGCATTTCAGGATATATGGATTTTTGCATGTCTTTATATTCGGGATGAATTTCTGAAGCCGGTATGACATACAATTGTTTGATTATGTCAGGAACGTCATATTTATTTTCAGCACCTTTGCTACTTGCTGTTGCACGGAGAGGAACAAATTTAATTTCTGTGGTTGTACCAACATCAGTACCTGATGCAAAGTCCCTACCTGTTCTAGATCCAGGAGTAATTTCCCTGTGTTTTTCATGCTTAATGCCTTCTTTGTGGCGATGAGAACTCCTAGGCGAAGTTCTTCCTTTGTAGAGAGGGTAATAATTTTTCGCAGCATGTCGTTTGTTTAGCAAATAATCATCAGGCCTATTGTCTCTTTCCTTCTCATCACTAGGCATATTTTCTGCTCTGTTGTGCACATAATCACTAAGCACAGTACCTCGTCTGTAGCGTAGAGAGTCCCCAGATGTTATCGTTTCAGCATGGCCTTGAAAATGTTGGCCACCACTGGTACATCTGGCTGCAGCGATGAACACCAGCATGGCCAGAGCCAACGCTGCATCACACACATGCTGTTCAACAACAGAATAACATTCGTCAGACCCCTCACCGGGTTTAGTAAAAACAGAAAAGCCCTGTCAGCCCTCAACACAATAGGAAAGAGTTAACAGATTTCACTATTGCTTTAAATAGTATTTAAATTTTTTTAAATGTTAGAAAATACCATCTTTTTGCTATTAAATGATAGACGATATATTAATGTTTTATAAAGTGACTGAAATTACTCGTGAGATGAGGTTTGAGAGACAAGGTTGGTACTGTTCACTTGTAGCGAAGCTTGGCTTAGTTACCTCATCACTTTTGGTTAAGAATAATTCTATTTCGTAGCACAAAACCACGAACTGAGAATCTTATGAGTATTATAATTAATTTTCAATGCTTCCATGCTTGGGTGACTAGAGCACCGCTAAGTATCTGAGATAAAGTGTGTGAACAAAGTGTTATGTGGACTCGAACCCGGGTTATACTCCCACGTTTATACCTTTGTACCACAGTGGAACACAAATACTGTAGCGAGGATTTTCAATTCATCTGTTTTGGTTGGCCCGACAGTTGCCACTGTCCACCCGGTCACTCACGGAGCGCAGGTGTGGGAATGCAACCAAGTGAACCTGAGTTCAGACCCACATCACTCCTAGTTCACATAATTTATTACGTTTATGAAAGTGCGAAAGCTCAATTTATCTTCAAGATATTACTATTAGCATTTTGTAAACAAACAAACAATTCAATGTAAAACACTTGTTGTCATAACCTGCAAGTGGTATGCAACCGAATCACTATCTGTCTAATTTAATGCCTAATTGCCTTAACCTTCATAAAAAAAATTATAAGTCAATAACAGTATTAAGATAATAAAGAGATATGTTAAGGTCAATGAAAATAATTCACTGGGGTATGTAGAACCGTAAATCCCTGGGACATATATGAACCCACCAGGGGGACAAAAATAGAACAGAAAATAAGAACAATATTGTATGTTTTGATGTGCAACGAAGTAGGGCCTGAGTTGTTGACCAAAATATAGACAAATCTTTTTATTTTCTGTTTCATTTTCTCCATGTGGATTTGTCTGTGTCATTAACGTTTGTTATTACACTGTTGTGTTTGTTTTCTTCTACATATACTTCAAGACTGAAAATATCGCTACAGTGTACGAACCAGAATAAAAAAAAATCTTCTACGAAATATATTTTTTTTACTTCGAAAGTATAAAATATAAAAAATAAAAACGTTTCGTATCACATTGCGTCACATAATTAGCCTGATTACCACACTCAACCCATTTTTTAATTAACTGTCTTCGCTTACCATGGCTGGTGAGGCCGAAGTCCAGCCAAGAGAGTTGGCTCAGCTGTCAAGTGTGTACTAATTTCACATTGCACTTGTTAACGTTATAAAGGGTATAAGATTCAAGGTTGAGGCGTGAGCGTGTATTGACTCGGGGAGTGACCGTGCATGCTCAAAATGTCAGCCAGTTAGCTTATCCATGTTTTTTAAATAAGCTCTGTATTTAAAATGTGTTTTTTTTTTTTTAAGAATTTGATCATGGCAAAAATATTCAAATAAATATGAGTTTCATTTAATTTAAAATACACTTTAGATACTAGTTTTTCATAATGTGAACATCTGTCAGCTTGTATATAATTTAAGAGATATTAATCCCGCAGACATACTTCATTACCTAATATATCTAATTTAATGTACCTGATTACGTAGGTGGTTCTCATTAGTTTGGGATTGTTTGTAATTTTATTTTTAAGTCTTCTGCAAGAGAAATTATAGCTGACTTGACTTTATAGGAAACATATTGTCACTGAAATCTGCTCAAGAATTTCGTTTTGAAGTCTATCGAAAACCTATCAACCAACATGATCTCCAATTGTATTCTCACCAGACTCCAAAACCAAACGGGGCGTAATTATAGGCTTTTTCTTTCGTGCACTCCGAATCTGCAGCACTGAGTTCCTTGAGGAGGAATGCTCTCTCATCTAACAAGTATTTTCTAAACTTCACTATCCTCAGTAGAGACTGCAAACGCCAGGCATATAACATTTTTAACTCACCCAAAAAAGACACTGCCGAGAAGAGATACATAGTCCTTTCCACCAACTCCATTTCCAAACATCTTTCCAACATCTCGAACCTCATTCCAAGCGTCTACCTCTACATCCACCACCATCAAAGACATCACCAACAATTGACAGGGCAAGGTTCAATCCACTGCAGGGATTGAACATTAAAATGGTATAAAATACCGACAGGTTGTTAGGTAAGACACATATGTAACAGTTAGGTATCTTTATTTCGAAACGTTTCGCCTACACAGTAGGCTTCTTCAGTCGAGTACAGAAAAGTTGATAGAAGCAGAAGATACTTGAAGACGATGTAATCAGTCCATCACCTTTAAAGTTTTGAGGTGGTCAGTCCCTCAGTCTGGAGAATGCTCTTCTCCAGACTGAGGGACTGACCACCTCAAAACTTTAAGGGTGATGGACTGATTACATCGTCTTCAAGTATCTTCTGCTTCTATCAACTTTTCTGTACTCGACTGAAGAAGCCTACTGTGTAGGCGAAACGTTTCGAAATAAAGATACCTAACTGTTGCATATGTGTCTTACCTAACCACTGCAGGGATATATATAATCCACTGCAATGATTGCAACCAATTATGCATGGGCGAAACATCTAGAGACCTCTAAACACGTATTTCAGAACACCAGTACGCAGACAGATCGGACGATTTAAGGAACGCCTGCGTTCAACACCGAGACTTCAATAACCACTTAATTAATTAATTAACTACAGAAACGCAAAACTTTTCGCCAGAGAAGAATACACTCACTACCGCAGAATCCTGGAACCATCACTTATCTGCATATCTAACAATTTCAACCAGAACAACGGCTTCTATAACACAGCCGAACCCCTTGCCAAAAAAAACTTATTCGTTGTTATCCTACATAACTATATGCACATTCACCTATCCCTTACAGGTCCTTCTCAGATCCAACCTACCCACCCAGCATTCTCCACCTGGCTCTCCACCCTTTAGATATTCATGTACGATTCACCTAGGTTGGTCTGTTTGTGACTTGATAAAGCTCACTGTGTGGACGAAACGTTGTTAATAAAGGGCCATATTATACTGCATTTGTGTTTATTTTTCCATCGTGTCGATATTTTATACTATTTATCCCCGACACCTGACTATTCATGATGACGCAGGTAGATAGTCAAGGATCCGTGAAACACACCTTATATTCTACCCATAAATTTTATTTGTCTAATGTATCTTAAATTCTTCTCAAATTTTATTAATTATAAATGAATCGAATGTGTGTAACCCAAAAGCAATATTCATATAATTTTCAAAAATATTTTCTATGAGACTTGATTCTATTATATTCCTGTCGACCATGGACTAGCAAGATACAACTTTCTCAGCCTTTTGAAAATCAATTGGATGGTTATAATCTTTCACATGAATGAGCAAAACATTAGAATCTTGTCCTCTTCTAATGCTATATTTATGTTGTTTCAGTCTTAGTTCAAGACTTTTACCAGTTTGACCGTAATAAAAATCTTGATACAGTAAAAAATCTTTTGATAAAAAATTCCCCCAGAAATGCTGAGGCTGTGTCCACAAGATTCCTGTAAATTATGTGATAAAGTTTATTACGGTCAAACTGGTAAAAGTCTCGAACTAAGATTAAAATAACATAAATATAGCTACATTAGAAAAGAACAAGATTCTAATATTCTGTTTATTCACGTGAGAGATTTTAACCATCTAATTGATCAAAAACTTGTATTAGGTGATAGGACTTATAACGGCCTCCCTCCGTCGAATTGTAAATCATTTATAAAGACTTGACGTAACACCTGGCCGTAAGAAAACTATCAGTTCATACTAAGTAGTCTGATAACGTCCTAGTTTTACACTGAGATGGCAAAGTGTCTGGGAATAATTAACTATATATTGCCATACAAGAAGATTCACTATCACTTAAGGTAGCAGACATCATACAATTCATATCAACTTCACAAAAATTTGAATTTAAATTAATTTCTGACAAAAAAGTTTCTATTTTTTCATTTTTTCTTTTGGGTCAGTTTGGGTTATTATGACTTTCTCACTACGATAGTGATACCTAATAATAAAGATTGACAACTTCCTTACTCTTGCTGGCCTCAGAGGACTTCTAAATTTTAGTTCCCTTTGTTTTCTAGGATAGACATTATGTATCTACATCAAACTAATTTACGTTATTGAACAAAATAAGAATGCCATTACAGACTGCAGATAAAAACTGGTCACTGTCCCTGAAATCTCTTAAAGATTTTTTATCATGAGTAATAAAGTACTATCACTCCAAAAGTTAAACAAGACGGAGATGGTTAGTTTTACATTACTAAAATTCTCCTTATATTTTAGACTGGTCAGCCATGATTATTTTCTGCATAAGGTCGTAGATTTTTCAGAAACCTTCACAACTGTGCTTTTAATTGACGATAATCGCAAGCGATCTCAGTAACACAGAAGTATAAACATTAGGGGGATATACCATGAAAATAATACTCCCTATCTAGTAACCCAGGTTGTCAAATATAATGTATAAGAGGTAATATCCTCATCTTTTGTAAATTGGGGAAAGTCAGGCAGGAAGTAAGGGCTACTTAAACTCTCTCTTCAGCTTTTTTGTTTTGAAAACTCGTGTTTTTTTCCCTATCTCTGTATTCTTATGCTCCAAGTCAGCGTTTATAGTCGATTTTTCTTTCTGTAACTTACTCGTTTCTCTTTTTATATTACTGCTAACTCATGCTTTATCGTCCCACTCTAGTATTTCTTTCTCTTTCTTACCTTCCCTAGAACACCGCTCTTTCTCCTTGAGATCCTCTCTGGCTAAGTTATTTTTCTTTCCTATTTCTTCCCTAGGTATCCATTTAGGTTTGAAAATATGAGATTACTCTAAGTGGTACCTGTGAATCCATATTATCCTCCACTTTCCATCTTGATTTATATACATCTATTGTAAAAGCAATGTAGATTTTTCTAGCGCCTCGGGAATATCTCTAGAAAAATAAGGAGAGGTGTATTATAGATACTAGAGGATTTCTAGGAAACAATCATCAAAATGTGCTATTTGAAGGATAAAATTTTCACAATTCTGCAATTAGAATAAAATAAGAACTAACTTTTCTTAAATAGCGAAACTTTCTCGGGAATGCTCCAAAGAGTATCTTGATAACATATGCAAAGCACAACACTAATTCAGTTAAATGGGCTGCTAATGACGCCTTCTGAGTCGACCTAAAACTGACACCTAAACACACCTCATTGCCGCAAAAATTTATTTAGAAAACCATAAAATTATGTGACTCGTTAGACTTCACTATCAAATTAAAATATCTGAAAGCAAAAATCAATCCATCCGATTCATTTGGATACATTCTCTTGCATCACCCGAGTGACCAAGATCACAAACCGAAATGTATCCACTACAGGCGCTCCAGAGTATGAACCTCCGTTCTTTTCCTGATGAAAGAAAAATTATCAAGAACAGCTGGTAAACTTAGAAATATGAACTTCACTGTTCCATTTCAAACAGGAAACTTTACTATAATTAAACTCTATAAATTTAATCTGACAATATTATAATAATGTTTCTAACCAGTCTAATACCACAAATCATAAATTCATAAAAAATTAGTGTGAATCATTGTAGAAATATTGTTGAGTCGTAAAAATGAGGTCTTATTCAGGTCGAGTCAATATTATGTTTAATAAAGACTCGTGAGGAAACTGTTTATTAGAAACATGTCGGTCCCAGTTTTCTAAGAAACATGTATTGGTGTTTTGCTCACGTGTCTTTTTAAAGCAGTGTGTCGGTATCCAATTATCAAGGTTTATACCAGTCAATATTGTGTTGAAGTCAGCATTCAGATTCCAAAACTATACTGCAGGTAAAATGATCATCAGCTAAATGGCAAAAATCAAAGACTGGTGTGGAAAATACTGTATATTTTTTCCGAAAATTCAGTGTATTTTGTATGTAAATTGATGGAATATATTGTAGTTAACAAAAATTGATTTGTAAATAAATAAAGAACCAGCGAGAGTGGTGAGCGTCGCGGGGAAAGGGGAGTCGCCATTGTTTTGAACTGGGCAAAGGCACGCTAGTGAAATGTACGTAAATATCGTCGCTCTGGAGGTTAAATTGTGGTTGAAACCTCCCAAATAGGAGCAGAAATTGTTGGAATTGCAGTCCTGCAGAACTTGAGAAGATGAGTGGACAGGACAATCAGGGAACCCCAGCTAAGTCATGTCTGTATTTTATGTTGAAATTCTGGACAGTATTTTCTTCATATTATAGGCAGGTGTATGACACACCAAGTAATCTCCAGACTAATTGGTGAGTGGTATTAAGATAAATTTTCCTTCAATGTATATGTAGTCATTTTTTTAAATTTAATATACAGTCCACGTATTTATATTAATGTTGTACTAGAATTACTGGTGATGTATATTTTATTTGAAATTAATATAGGTCCAGAGTGACTTGGGGAGATATGAGTGGAGTAGGTATCGAAGGAGGACATTTTTTGCGACCTAGGATGTCCTAAAATTCCTATATGTCTCTGTAACCTTGATAAAAAATAATTATCCTTGTTACTTCTATAAAATTACTAGTATATATCTAATGAGATTCATCCAGGTAATTTTAATTTTCCAAAACTGCAATAGGAGAGGAATGATTAAAAGACTTACCCACACGTTCGTAAATGCGGTGCTTACATTTTTGTGAGGAACTCCCCACGAATTGAACATTATTGCTCGGAGATTTAAATATGTAAGCACCATGCAAAAGATCACTAGCTAGACAATTAATGCACACTGGATAAATGATGTAATGGACCTGGGCTTCATAGATAAAGATTGACCTAAGCTAGATGATTATACAGTGCGTCTGTGCCTCATTCCTAGTTACGAGATTTAATGTTTGCATTATTACTATTGTGCTTAACGAAAATCCTTCCTAGCTTACGCATGTGATTGAGCCGCAAAAACTCCCTGGGGTTGGAGTAACCTGTTATAGGCATAAACTTCGACTCGATCTTAAAGGGAATCGTTCTAATAGTGGTTCTCAAACCCATTCGATTCTCCACCTAATCATTCTATTTATTCATTGACAGTCATTTATTATAACTCCTATTTAGTTTATGGTTTATATGGCTTTGAGGATGTGATAACAGATGCATTATAAAAGTGTTTGGGGCTATGGGAAGAGACAGATGGATAACAGATGTTGACAGAACAACGGTTCGAGTCTCTGTTCATTCATCTATTTACTCGTTGATAGTATATTAAAAGGAACAAAAAACTTGTACAAATGTCTGATCTACATATTTCGCTCTTCGTTTGATATCGCCATCAGTAGATTCTAAGACTTAACCCTCAACACTACAAATAGGTGAAAACAAGCACTCAAGCGCGCTTGACTGTATGCTTCATCAATCACATCTCAAGGAGCACACACTTTAATTTGGAAACATTATTTTTCTAGATTATTTACATTTACATTTTGTTTGTCTTTTCTAGACGTAAGTTTCAGTGTATTACTTTTAAGTTCTTCCTAATTCATATCATATATAAACAGCATAGATGATCCCTGATTATACTGAAGGAGAAATTTAAACAGACTCGTATCGCACAGGGAAATCTTTAATTCAGAAATTATTATTAACACGTTAAATTGTATTTTTAATGACATGAAGTTTTTGGTTGATATTATTCCTAGTTCCAAGGAGGAAGAACACCATGACATAGACCACCACAACTGAATTATCAGTTCCTCCTTATTTACGGTCGAAGATGGTTGTATCATCCTGTGGTAGAGATGGTGGAATCATCCTGTGGTAGAGATGGTGGAATCATCCTGTGGTAGAGGTGGTGCAGTCATCCTGTGGTAGAGATGGTGGAATCATCCTGTGGTAGAGATGGTGGAATCATCCTGTGGTAGAGATGGTGGAATCATCCTGTGGTAGAGATGGTGGAATCATCCTAGGCTGGAGGAGGTGGCCGTATCCTGCTCTGTAGAAGGTGGTATCATCCTTCGTTGGAGTAGGTAGCATCATCCTGTGCTGGAGTAGGTGCTATCATCCTGCGCTGGAGTAGAAGTTATCTTTAGCTGGATCATGTGGCATTATCCTGTGCTGGAGAAGATAATATCCTACGCAAGAGTAGGTGGTATCATCATGTGTAGAGAATTATCATGTGCATGAGTGGATGCTACCATTTTGTGCCATAATAAGTGGAAAGAATCAGATACATAAAACTGAAACAATTTTTCATTTGTATTAAAGGGAAAAGTGGTTGTGAGCGTACAAAGTCTTCAACGTGAAAAAAAAAACTGAGAGACTGCAAAAACAAAAAAAAAATCAGACTTTCAAATATATTCTATGGAGACTCAGGAAAACATGTTAATATACTGATTAAAGAATAGATAAAAGTGGAAATAAGACTGAGGTTGATGGGAAGAAATGTGTACCAAGCGAATGAACTAAAGGGTTATATTGATCATTACTCTCTCAGTCTCACTCACCTCATCAGTATCAATATAACAGAAAGCCGGTCTAGTAGGCAGAAGAACCACCCATCGTCGTACTTACACCCTTACCTCTGAACCTTCCTCCCAAACCTGGAAATTTTGGAGTGCGAGTTGATACGACCTTCAGCGTTCACAAAACAAGAAAGATCAAGTGAGATATCAATGGGTCTCTACGTGCACATATTACAAATAATGATGTCGCTGGGTACATGCTTAAAAAATTATAATCACACACACATGCATTTTATTCTGACAACGTGAAAACAACAATTAATTCTGGACAACCCATCACTACAGGTGATGGAAACAGATCTTCCTTTCTTTCTATATTTTAGTGGCCATCATTGATATAAACGAATGGCAAAAATTTGATAGAACATCTCGTCGAAGGGAGGGAGCAAGAACTAAAATTACTCTAGAGATCTATTAAAATAATAAAGCTTACGGTGATCTGCGACGCTTCCACGGGCATTGTCGCTGTATGTGTCAGAACTTCCCAGATATGTTCCAGCGAAGCCTAGATTGAGAGCATCAAAGCCTGGAAGCGAGACAGCAGAGAATTTGAACAATGAATTATTTATATAAACATATATATATATATACATATATATATATATATATATATATATAATATATATATATATATATATAATATACATATATATATATATATATATATATATATATATATATATATATAATATATATATACATATATATATATATATAATATATATATATATATATATATATATATATATATATATATATATATATATATATATATATATATATATATATATATATATATATATATACATTTTTTTTCAACAAGTCGGCCATCTCCCACCGAGGCAGGGTGACCCAAAAAAGAGAGAAAATCCCCAAAAAGAAAATACTTTCATCATCATTCAACACTTTCACCACACTCACACATTATCACTGCTTTTGCAGAGGTGCTCAGAATACAACAGTTTTAGAAGCATATACGTATAAAGATACACAATATATCCCTCCAAATTGCCAATATCCCAAACCCCTCCTTTAAAGTGCAGGCATTGTACTTCCCATTTCCAGGACTCAAGTCCGACTATATGAAAATAACCGGTTTCCCTGAATCCCTTCACTAAATATTACCCTGCTCACACTCCAACAGATCGTCAGGTCCCAAGTATCATTCGTCTCCATTCACTCCTATCTAACACGCTCATGCACGCTTGCTGGAAGTCCAAGCCCCTCGCCCACAAATATATATATATATATATATATATATATATATATATATATATATATATATATATATATATATTATATATAAAAGGGTTGGGTGGTCCTGTGGTTAAAGCGTCATGTGGTTCTCGCTTACCATGAGGCAGGCCAGTTCAACATGGGTTTGAATCCTTGGCTAGCGCAGTGTTGTTATTGATCAATACCACTCGTTCGTGGTTACTAATATATATATATATATATATATATATATATATATATATATATATATATATATAATAATATATATAATATATAATATATATCAATAACACTGCGACTAGCCAAGGAGTCGAACCCATGCTGCTTTGGCCTGTCTCATGGTGGGCGAAAACTCATGACGCCTTAATCCATGGCCGTGGGACAACGGAATTGTGTGGTCCCGTGGATTAAGGAGTCATGAGTTTTTCGCCCACCATGAGGCAGGCCAAAGCAGCATGGGTTCGACTCCTTGGCTAGTCGCAGTGTTGTTATTGATCAATACCACTTGCTCGTGGGTGCAATTTTATATATATATATATATATATATATATATATATATATATATATATATATATATACATATATATATATATATATATATTATATATATATATATATATATATATATATATATATATATAATATATATATATATATAATATATATATATATATATATATTTCAACAAACCGGCTGTATCCCACCAAGGCAGGGTGGCCCAAAATGGAAAACGAAAGTTTTTCCTTTTAAATTTAGTAATTTGTATAGGAGAAGGGGTTACTAGCCCCTTGCTCCCGGCATTTTAGTCGTCTCTTACAACGCGCATGGCTTACGGAGGAAGAATTCTGTTCCACTTCCCCACGGAGATAAGAGGAAATAAACAAGAACAATAACTAGAAAGAAAATAGCAGAAAACCCAGAGGGGTGTGTATATATATGCTTGTATATGTATGTGTAGTGTGACCTAAGTGTAAACAGAAGCAGCAAGACGTACCTGTAATCTTGCATATTTATGAGACAGACAAAAGACACCAGCAATCCTACTATCATGTAAAACAATTACAGGCTTTCGTTTAACACTCACTTGGCAGGACGGTAGTACCTCCCCGGCGGTTGCTGTCTACCAACCTACTACCTAGGATATATATATATATATATATATATATGTATATATTTATATATATGAATAAACTAACAAGACTTTACCTGACTCTCCGTGTGTGTCTTGATTGGGGTTTCTATCATATAGATCGACAGAGCGACGGACTTGTACTCCACTCTGCTGGCGTGTTCCAAACACGCCTGGACCTTCCATTGAGCCTAAAGCACCTGTAGGTACAAAAATCTTAGCTCATTGCGAATAACTGGACTGGCCTAAAACAATTAGATGAAGATTTATCAGTTGAAGTAATGGTAACAGTAGAATAAGTAGCGATAGTAATAGTAATAGAGTAGCAGTAATGATAGCATTAGTAGAAGCAACAGCATTAGGCTATAATTATAACCATATTAGTGCTACTTCTAGTATTATTGATAATGGTGATAATGTTATTAATGTAAATGATGATAATATTATAACTAATAATAATAATAAATAATATTATATATAATAATAATAATAATAATAATAATAATAATAATAATAATAATAATAATAATAATAATAATATAATAATAATAATAATAATAATAATAATAATAATAATAATAATAATAATAATAATAATAATAATAATAATAATAATAATAATAATAATAATAATAATAATATAATAATAATAATAATAATAATAATAATAATAATAATAATAATAATAATAATAATAATAATAATAATAATAATAATAAAGAAGATGACCTGAAACATGAGTGATGCTTCATTCCTAGGTGACATGATTTTGCTCTACTCCAATATAATCAATGACTAATCTCCTTTGTATCTGCTGATGACGACCTTAGTTGCAGTTTCAAATATAAAATAAGTTTTGTATCCTAGTCTGTGTCAACACGTGGTTCTTTCTTCCTACCCTTAGCCAGGTGCACCAGCAGCCTGGCGAGTGAAGGCCGGTTATTTCATTTTGTCCTTCTCTTCATGCTTCACAACCTAGCGAACACAAGCGAAATTACTTTCAAACATTTTATCTCAGACCATCAGAGGATTTGTATCCATGCACTCATCTCTCCACTCATTCAGAGTAGATACGTGGGTAGTCCTCACGAAATACTAATCATTGCATCTCAGAAGATCAGTGTTTCTTAAATAACCATCCACTTACATCTGAGAACTTCACAGTTTTGAAGTCAACATCACAGAAATTGAGCCTCATTGTATATGATTCCCTGTAAATCATTAAAATGTGTTAGTTAGTTAGTTAAAGATTAGCCGGTATTCTCCCGGCCCGGGCCTTGTCCAAGTGGTGGCCCGGCCTTGGCTCCCTCTTTAGGGAGTGTCTGAGACCGAAATCTCCCATGGGAGGAGGCACAAGTACCTCCTCATCTTTGGGACCAACTGTCCCCAGGCCTAGCCACAAGCTAGGCCTCTCTGGTCTGCCATCCCCTCCCCAAGGGGGCTAATGGGAATGACAGTCTTATGAGCTAAAGGCTCGGGGTCAGGCACCTACCCTACCCTAGAAGGGTTAGGCATGGTGTCGATGATTAAAATGTGGCCGAAGATAAACAGAAATAATATCTGTACAATTGTTTTAAACAACGGTGCATTTTATGTGTACATAACTTTATGTTTGTTTACAAGGGAGGGAAGATACATTGTAATATTGTTAGGTATACTGGTGGACCTTAGATAAAGATATTAAATTTCACGAATTATTTAAAAACAGAACATATTCTTTACATAGATCAGCGATCCTGCTTTGTAATTGTTCTTAATTGCTTCAGCATATGATGGAGTTTGAGAATGATATAATATAGGTATATATTAATATATATATATATATATATATATATATATATATATATATGTGTGTGTGTGTGTGTGTGTGTGTGTGTGTGTGTGTGTGTGTGTGTGTGTGTGTGTGTGTGTGTGTGTGTGTGTGTGTGTGTGTGTGTGAGTGTGTGTGTGTGTGTGTGTGTGTGTGTGTGTGTGTGTGCGTGTGTGTGTGCGTGTGTGTGTGTGTGTGTGTGTGTGTGTGTGTGTGTGTGTGTGTGTGTGTGTGTGTGTGTGTGTGTGTGCGTGTGTGCGTGTGTGTGTGTGTGTGTGTGTGTGTGTGTGTGTGTGTGTGTGTGTGTGTGTGTGTGTGTATGTGTTGAGGACTTACGTGCTCCCGCACTGTAGGCACCCAGACTATCAGCATGTGATGCCTGCCTGGTGTCCCAGTCAGTGTCAACGTTGGAATAGAAACCGCCCCCTGGAAGAAAATTTTTGATTTTTCTCTTTAAATTTGCGTTCATTTACTGTATTAAAGTTGATGACCAAAATTTTTTGAAAAATAATTGTTTATTTACTTTGGTTGTGAATACGATAACTGGTCATACTGTAAATCATTCACTTGTCGTTCTTTTATTTTTAAACTGTCTGTCTTTTATATTAAATAGTCACTATTCTTTATTAACTGGTCATTCTGTAATTTATTAAATGGTTGTTCTACAGATCATTCACTCTCATTGACTAAGCTGTCTTGGGACAAGATGTTGGATTACCAGAGTAAGCATCGTCTCTAGGACGTTGGAAAGGGCGCATAGGAACCGCGTCCACAGAAGGCAGCAGCGCCCCCAGCAGCGCCAACAACACCACTGACACCACACTCTTGAAAGATGAAAAAAAAAAACCATCTTCGTGTCTCATTATTCTTTAATAAGAGAAACAGAAAATGGGTTGTGGAGGAGAGGAGTAAATACAAGAGTGGATATAAAAATGACTTAGAAAATAAAATAAATTAAAGAGAATTATTAATAATGGCTACTTTAGTTGTACAATAGTAAATAATGATAATAATAGTTATATGAATAATAATAATTATGATAATGGTAATAGTTATAATAATAATAGTTACAATAATAACTGATAATAATAATAATAATAATAATAATAATAATAATAATAATAATAATAATAATAATAATAATAATAATAACAGAAACAACAACAATAATAATAACAATAGCAATAATAATAATAATAATAATAATAATAATAATAATAATAATAATAATAATAATAATAATAATAATAATAATTTACGTATACATTACAACGAGCTGGACAACAGTATGTGTGTAAGCAAATTAATAATACCTCTAGTTGTACATGTATCATTATCATCTCGACTACTGCTTCATAAACTTCCCTCTCTTTGTATGCTAAGATATCCCTTATCAACAGTGAAAATATGACTAAAAGAGGGAATCTGCTTTCAGTTCTTACCATGATAGCTGTCTTGTGTTAGTCAACCACTAACTAACGGCTGTCAGCCTGTAACAGTTCCCAAGAACTGGGCGCTCTGCATTTTAAAGGTATCCCCGTTGTTTGCTCAAGGTCTGCTTGTAATCACACTAGGGAAGAATGCGATATAATTCTTTGTGCACAAACGCTTATAAAAAAACATTTTCTTAATTGTTTATATCAGTGCATATGTTAAATGTGCAAACATCACGTACTACGAACTGCATCATTTGCAACGATCACATCAGCGACATAACTATTGAGTAATGGTAAGTTGTCAGAGTAATTGGATTATTTAGCCTTCTGCTAATCAATGGTTAGTATTCAGCCTCAGCACAAGTCTAATAATCTCAATCCTTTTATGTATCTATAAGTGGCAGAAACTTTTTAATGAATTACACTGTTGTACATTTGACTCGTTTTTTCTTGGAGGTTCTTAAGGTAAACAAATTATTATAATTGGTCAAAGCTTGAGAGATTCTTACCCTAATAATAAATTTATCCGCTAATACCCGATAAATTTATGTGCATACATAAAATCTCAAAATCTATATCTACTAGACACTAAGTTTTGGGCTCAAAGCAGATTTTTTTTTTTGAGATAAAACATCATGTAAACATTATCACATTCACTAGATTAGTAGATTAGGTAATTTCAAAATATTATACATGAACAACTGAAGACTGAAATATGTATTCGCTCATTTTTTTGCAAATTTTTGTAATACTGCAGTCACACGTGAACTGTGAAATAAGTAATATTTGCAGTGTAAACAACAACGAATGCCAGAAGAAGTTTAATTATATTTATAAACAAAATATAAGGAAAAAGTTCTAAATGTGATAATATACACTTGGAAAATCCTAATTCGCACACGAAAAATAATCCATACGAAAGCAAAAAAATCGGCAGGAGATGCAACATTCCCCCAATGAAAAGCAGGAGAGCCACGAATACACTAAGAGACAACATAGTAAGTGTCAGGAGCCCAAGACTGTTCAACTACCTCCCAGCATACGTAAGAGGGATTACCAATAGACCCCTGGCAGTCTTCAAGAAGGCGCTGGACAGGCACCTAATGTCAGTATCTGATCAGCCGGGGTGTGGTTCGTACGTCTGTTTACCTGCGGCTAACAGCCCTGATCCACCATGAGGCCTGGTCACGGACCGGGCCGTTGATCCCCGGAACCCTCTCCACGTACACTCCAGGTATGTGCATTTGTGTGTCTTAAAGAATAATTTCTACTATTCTATAAAGGAAAAAAAATATACATCGCAACAACTTTTTTCACAAATTTAAATCTCCAAGAATAATTTGTGCAGTGTTCTCTTTTGTACTTTCAAAAAATTGTGTATCTCACACCTGATATTTTACAGTTGCATCTCATTATTATTTAACTTATATTTTCCCAAATTTACCAGTTATTTCTGAGAAATTTAAATGGTAATAGAAGTACGTACATAGTTCCTTGTTATCCTGGCGTCTTGTTGTTCTTTAAGTGAAGTAATTTTTGACAACAAGGAATTCTCGACATATAAATATTCTTACTGAGTTTGACTTTGGTGGTAGTTCAACAGAGTTTTTTTTACAACATTTTTGCCGTTATTGGAATTCTTTCAAACGTACATATTTCTCGAGTAAGAGTTGACTCAGCGGATAGTGTGTGCATGACTGGTTTGATAATAGCATCGCCTTCAAACAATAGGTTTACTGGCAGCAGATCATAAGCTAAAATATTTTTCACTTTTCTTCTGGTAATAATCGTGCTGTTTGCAGCATGAGAAATCTTTGGTATTTTCCGGTTTGTCGCTGTTTCCGCTCATTAAAACACTAGTTTTAGTTTTGAGTGTAAAATGACATTCGATGTTATACCACACTAGAGAGTGATTCAAAAACTAGAAGAAAAGATTAAAATAATTTGAGATATGATAACCGTATTTGAAATCATGAAGGGTACAAATAATACAGTAAGTATACATCTAACTTCCTTCAACAGGAGAAAACTATGCCACAGTCATAAATTGAAAGAAGAACTGTAATCGAAAGAAAAGCAACGAATTTCTTTTCAGAGTGATGCAACAGTACTACTGATTAAGTCATTCGACATTAAGAAAAATTGATAAATTATACCTGAATAAGGAAAGCAGTGTGCTAGATCCACTCATGCACCTGCTAACAGGTGGTAAGATGCAGGTAATCTCATGCATAAACTACACAAACAACCTGGATGATGAGATGGTTGTAACAAATTCGTGCACACATTTAACATACGTAAAGTATAATATAGAGCGAAATGTTCTCAATTAGTGTGAAGCAGTTCCTGAGCAGTTGTGGGGTGGGACCAAGAGCTGAGATTGGACCTCAGCAGTTCCCAAGAAAATGATTATTCGCAATAACACTAAGAGTGGAAACGAACCCTGGTTATCAATTGCTAGATACACGAAGGACAAGACACGATTGGTATGGTTTGTTTGCCATCGTGTCATTACAACTTCGCGAGTCATGAGTTATATTAGTGATCTTATCTTATCTTATCTCTTATCTACCTCTTGAAGGTCCATACATTTTTTCGTTTATGGCGAGTTGATTACTCTACGGAGTTTTTTCATTTACAGTTTATGTTTCACGAAATGTATGTATTTTAAATTGGAAAAATAACTTGACCACATAAATTTATTAATATTTTATTTTAAGCTGAAAAGAACACGTTTCTTTATCTCATAGTTTATTGCTGTTTATCTAAATAGTTTTAGCTTATGACGCTCAGCAACTGCAGAATCACTGGCTGAATCAGAGGTATAATTCAGAATTCAGATAACCCTGAGATTTGAATCCGAATTAGGTTGAATCCAAGATACGAAGTCGAGCTCAGATGAACCCAGGTTCAGAATAATTCGATATTTATCTAACCATGTATTTGCAGACTCCAATGTGGAGACATGACAAATGTATTTCATTGAGAGGTGTTCTGTATTTCATTGAGAGGTGTCCTGTATTTCATTGAGAAGTGTTCTGTATTTCATTGAGACGTGTCTTGTATTTCATTGAGACGTGTCCTGTATTTCATTGAGAGGTGTCCTGTATTTCATTGAGACGTGTCCTGTATTTCACTGAGAGGTGTCCTGTATTTCATTGAGAGGTGTCCTGTATTTCACTGAGAGGTGTCCTGTCAATGATGACGTCTCTTCAATGTTCTTATTTCAAATACTGTTTGGGGACAGTTGTAGCGTTGAGTGGCAGAGCTTCATGAAGACGATTAAACTGTTTTAAAAGCATTAATACTGCATCTTAGTGAGTAACAGTACCCTGGGTCACAGTTTTGCTCAATGTTTCAGGTAATATGGAGGAACATTTGAGCTCACTCAGATTGGAGATCTTAGGAAAGCTATTGTACTGAAGCAGTGAGCATGCCAGATAATCCGCCCATCCCGGTGAAATGACCTCCTAAGTCTGGAAATAAATAAATGATAATTTATTGATGTTGCCTTGCAGCACTCAATAATGTATATACACCAATGTATATGCACCAAAATGTGTAGATTTTTCATTGTTTTGACTCAAACATGAATATATCTCTGGGCGTATATACACCGATGTATATATCTCAAGGATGTAATTCTTGAATGCGATGTTATAGGTGAATTGTCTTTACCTCGACAAATTATCTCTGATGTTAGCGTATATATATGCATGTGTATAAATACTCCAAAATGTGTATATGTAAATGAATACACACGAACAGTAATGAATTTCAACGTAGACAAATCAAATTTGCATCTCAGGGGATATATATATATATATATATATATATATATATATATATATATATATATATATATAATATATATATATATATATATACATGTACATGTATGTGTAGTGTGACTTAAGTGTAAGTAGAAGTAGCAAGACGTACCTGTAATCTTGCATATTTATGAGACAAACAAAAGTCACCAGCAATCCTATCTTCATGTAAAACAATTACAGGCTTTCGTTTTACACTCACTTGGCAGGACGGTTGTACCTCCCTGGGTGGTTGCTGACTACCAACCTACTATATATATATATATATATATATATATATATATATATATATATATATATATATATATATATATATATATATATATATATATATATATATATATATATTATATATATATATATATATATATATATATATATATTATATATATATAATATATATATATATTTATATATATTTATATATATATATATATATATATATATATATATATATATATATATATATATATATATATATATATATATATATATATATATGTCGTGCCGAATATGTAAAACTGGTCAATTAGCAAGAACTCATTTAAAATTAAGTCCTTTCTAAAATTTTCTCTTATACGTTTAAAGATATATTTTTTTCATTAATGTTGATATATATATATATATATATATATATATATATATATTATATATATATATATATATATATATATATATATATATATATATATATACACACACACTAAGAATTTCGGGTCTCACTGTATATTCAATGAGGAAACTTTAATCAACATTTAACAGATAAAAAATTCCTGGAAATTTTTGTCTAGGCTGTGTTAAATAATCATTATCGTGTCGTTTGCGGGAATTACGTTTAACAAATAACATCAACAGTTTTGCCTTGATACTGGGAAAGGGATCTTGATCCAAGAAACTGAATCTGCCATTTTCTTCCCTGGATCACATCGAATTATCTTCTATTCCCTTAGCGTTCCATGACTCTGGATTTAGAGTTCCCTCTGCAATTTAAGTTATAATAATATCCAACTCAAAGATCGAACAGGATTTGAATCATGTCAGTTCCCTGAGTTGTTGACAATCGTGTTATTACGATTTCATGAATCATTGATATATAATAAAAATGTTAAATTTTATGGATCTTTTAGGAATATAAAGTCGAGTGTGTATTTCTATAAGTTACTGAATATTGATTTTATCACACAAATTAAAACAAGATTTTTCGTAAGGTTCAGTCTTGTATGAAACTTTTTTAACAAAGCTTTGACTCTACATAGTGTTTCTTTAATATACTATATGTTGGCTTACGCAATCGTTCATATACTACGTTTTTTCCTGGAAAATGTAAATG